TGGAACTTATGACGATTGTGAAATGGGCGGCTGTAAACACGCATCGTGTGAGTATGTCTGTAACCAATGCTGTATGCTTAGCCTTGATATAAATGTAGGTAAACGTTCCTAACAACCCGTCACCTATGAAGGATCCATGAAAAGTATTCATTTTATCCAAGATGTTCCTCCTTATGTATCTCTAAACATGTAAGACACGTGGCTCCCCGGGATTGTATGCATGGTTGTATACCTGGATGTTCCTCTATATGTATCTCTAAACATGTAAGACACGTGGCTCCCCGGGATTGTATGCATGGTTGTATACCTGGATGTTCCTCCTTATGTATCTCTAAACATGTAAGACACGTGGCTCCCCGGGATTGTATGCATGGTTGTATACCTGGATGTTCCTCTCTATGTATCTCTAAACATGTAAGACACGTGGCTACCCGGGATTGTATGCATGGTTGTATGCCTGGATGTTCCTCCTTATGTATCTCTTAACATGTAAGACACGTGGCTACCCGGGATTGTATGCATGGTTGTATGCCTGGATATTCCTCCTTATGTATCTCTAAACATGTAAGACACGTGGCTACCCGGGATTGTATGCATGGTTGTATGCCTGGATGTTCCTCCTTATGTATCTCTAAACATGTAAGACACGTGGCTACCCGGGATTGTATGCATGGTTGTATGCCTGGATATTCCTCCTTATGTATCTCTAAACATGTAAGACACGTGGCTACCCGGGATTGTATGCATGGTTGTATGCCTGTATGTTCCTCCTTATGTATCTCTACTCATGTAAGACACGTGGCTACCAGGGATTGTATGCATGGTTGTATACCCGGATGTTCCTCCTTATGTATCTCTAAACATGTAAGACACGTGGCTCCCCGGGATTGTATGCATGGTTGTACACCTGGATGTTCCTCCTTGTGTATCTCTAAACATGTAAGACACGTGGCTACCCTGGATTGTATGCATGGTTTTTAACCCGGATGTTCCTCCTTATGTATCTCTACTCATGTAAGACACGTGGCTACCCGGGATTGTATGCATGGTTGTATGCCTGGATGTTCCTCTCTATGTATCTCTTAACATGTAAGACACGTGGCTACCCGGGATTGTATGCATGGTTGTATACCTGGATGTTCCTCCTTATGTATCTCTAAACATGTAAGACACGTGGCTCCCCGGGATTGTATGCATGGTTGTATGCCTGGATGTTCCTCTCTATGTATCTCTTAACATGTAAGACACGTGGCTACCCGGGATTGTATGCATGGTTGTATACCTGTATGTTCCTCCTTATGTATCTCTACTCATGTAAGACACATGGCTACCCGGGATTGTATGCATGGTTGTATACCTGGATGTTCCTCTCTATGTATCTCTTAACATGTAAGACACGTGGCTACCCGGGATTGTATGCATGGTTGTATACCTGGATGTTCCTCCTTATGTATCTCTAAACATGTAAGACACGTGGCTACCCGGGATTGTATGCATGGTTGTACACCTGGATGTTCCTCCTTGTGTATCTCTAAACATGTAAGACACGTGGCTACCCTGGATTGTATGCATGGTTTTTAACCCGGATGTTCCTCCTTATGTATCTCTACTCATGTAAGACACGTGGCTACCCGGGATTGTATGCATGGTTGTATACCTGGATGTTCCTCCTTATGTATCTCTAAACATGTAAGACACGTGGCTACCCGGGATTGTATGCATAGTTGTATACCTGGATGTTCCTCTCTATGTATCTCTAAACATGTAAGACACGTGGCTACCCGGGATTGTATGCATGGTTGTATACCTGGATGTTCCTCCTTATGTATCTCTAAACATGTAAGACACGTGGCTACCCGGGATTGTATGCATGGTTGTATACCTGGATGTTCCTCCTTATGTATCTCTAAACATGTAAGACACGTGGCTACCCGGGATTGTATACATGGTTGTATACCTGGATGTTCCTCCTTATGTATCTCTTAACATGTAAGACACGTGGCTACCCGGGATTGTATGCATGGTTGTATACCTGGATGTTCCTCCTTATGTATCTCTAAACATGTAAGACACGTGGCTACCCGGGATTGTATGCATGGTCGTATACCTGGATGTTCCTCTCTATGTATCTCTAAACATGTAAGACACGTGGCTCCCCGGGATTGTATGCATGGTTGTATACCTGGATGTTCCTCCTTATGTATCTCTAAACATGTAAGACACGTGGCTACCCGGGATTGTATGCATGGTTGTATACCTGGATGTTCCTCCTTATGTATCTCTAAACATGTAAGACACGTGGCTACCCGGGATTGTATGCATGGTTGTATACCTGGATGTTCCTCTCTATGTATCTCTAAACATGTAAGACACGTGGCTCCCCGGGATTGTATGCATGGTTGTACACCTGGATGTTCCTCCTTGTGTATCTCTAAACATGTAAGACACGTGGCTACCCTGGATTGTATGCATGGTTGTATACATGGATGTTCCTCCTTATGTAGCTCTAAACATGTAAGACACGTGGCTACCCGGGATTGTATGCATGGTTGTATACCTGGATGTTCCTCTCTATGTATCTCTAAACATGTAAGACACGTGGCTCCCCGGGATTGTATGCATGGTAGTATACCTGGATGTTCCTCCTTATGTATCTCTAAACATGTAAGACACGTGGCTCCCCGGGATTGTATGCATGGTTGTATACCTGGATGTTCCTCTCTATGTATCTCTAAACATGTAAGACACGTGGCTCCCCGGGATTGTATGCATGGTCGTATACCTGGATGTTCCTCCTTATGTATCTCTAAACATGTAAGACACGTGGCTCCCCGGGATTGTATGCATGGTTGTATACCTGGATGTTCCTTTCTATGTATCTCTAAACATGTAAGACACGTGGCTCCCCGGGATTGTATGCATGGTCGTATACCTGGATGTTCCTCCTTATGTATCTCTAAACATGTAAGACACGTGGCTCCCCGGGATTGTATGCATGGTCGTATACCTGGATGTTCCTCCTTATGTATCTCTAAACATGTAAGACACGTGGCTCCCCGGGATTGTATGCATGGTCGTATACCTGGATGTTCCTCCTTATGTATCTCTAAACATGTAAGACACGTGGCTACCCGGGATTGTATGCATGGTTGTATACCTGGATGTTCCTCTATATGTATCTCTAAACACGTAAGACACGTGGCTACCTGGGATTGTATGCATGGTTGTATGCCTGGATGTTCCTCCTTATGTATCTCTAAACATGTAAGACACGTGGCTACCCGGGATTGTATGCATGGTTGTATACCTGGATGTTCCTCTCTATGTATCTCTTAACATGTAAGACACGTGGCTCCCCGGGATTGTATGCATGGTCGTATACCTGGATGTTCCTCCTTATGTATCTCTAAACATGTAAGACACGTGGCTACCTGGGATTGTATGCATGGTTGTATGCCTGGATGTTCCTCCTTATGTATCTCTAAACATGTAAGACACGTGGCTACCCGGGATTGTATGCATGGTTGTATACCTGGATGTTCCTCTCTATGTATCTCTTAACATGTAAGACACGTGGCTCCCCGGGATTGTATGCATGGTTGTATACCTGGATGTTCCTCCTTATGTATCTCTAAACATGTAAGACACGTGGCTACCCGGGATTGTATGCATGGTTGTATACCTGGATGTTCCTCTATATGTATCTCTAAACATGTAAGACACGTGGCTACCCGGGATTGTATGCATGGTTGTATACCTGGATGTTCCTCTATATGTATCTCTAAACATGTAAGACACGTGGCTACCCGGGATTGTATGCATGGTTGTATACCTGGATGTTCCTCCTTATGTATGTCTAAACATGTAAGACACGTGGCTACCCGGGATTGTATGCATGGTTGTATGCCTGGATGTTCCTCCTTATGTATCTCTAAACATGGAAGACACGTCGCTCCCCGGGATTGTATGCATGGTTGTATACCTGGATGTTCCTCCTTATGTATCTCTACTCATGTAAGACACGTGGCTCCCCGGGATTGTATGCATGGTTGTACACCTGGATGTTCCTCTCTATGTATCTCTAAACATGTAAGACACGTGGCTCCCCGGGATTGTATGCATGGTCGTATACCTGGATGTTCCTCCTTATGTATCTCTAAACATGTAAGACACGTGGCTACCTGGGATTGTTTGCATGGTTGTATACCTGGATGTAACAATACAACTACAACCATACTCGTGTAGTCCGTCTGAATGTTGTTTCTCATCAGATGACAGGAACGTGCACAAGGACACTACGTAGGTGTATCTCCCCTTATACAGACACCTTGCGAAAAGATGAATATATAAATGAATTTGTTCAAAACGCTAAATCCTCAGTTTCTAATGTCACACTTGTAAAACTGCTCAACTCAGTTACTTTCTCAATACAGTACATCACTATGCATGTGTCCCCAGCAACGTATGCTGGAAGGAAGGACGCCTGAATAGATCGGGATGTCAGGTCTAAAAAATCCAGTCTGTCATGGCACACAGAGACTTGCACATAATAAATCAATGGATTGGTAAGCCCAGACTCGATTGCGTGCAGGCCGTCGTTTTACAACGGGAACATTGCTAAGTGCGACGTTAACAAACACACCACACAGACACATTATCTACACGTGTGACTTAATGTACCTTAATATTTTAAAATGTAAACTTGTTCCTGGCGCTGTATGACCATGCTCTTTATCAAGGCGAACCTGATATATTCGCTATTTATTTGCTCAAGGACATGGAACAAGAGCTGATCTAGTGTGCATGACACTAATGTCTAGTTCATTAAACATGTTTAAATATTTAGTCGCTCGTCTTTTTGCCAGATGGGAATGACGATAAGAAGACAGGCAGTGTGCTGACTTGGCTGTTGGCATCACTGCTACTCCCTGTGTCGGGCATCTTGCTGACTCTCTGCCTCTGTTACTGCAAGCGTTTCCCCAAACAAAGGTGGGTGTATTGGCATCATTGCTACTCCGTGTGTCGGGCATCTTGCTGACTCTCTGCCTCTGTTACTGCAAGCGTTTCCCCAAACAAAGGTGGGTGTGTTGCCATCACTGCTTCTCCCTGTGGCGGGCATCTTGCTGACACTCTGCCTCTGTTACTGCAAGCGTTTCCCCAAACAAAGGTGGGTGTGTTGCCATCACTGCTACTCCCTGTATCGGGCATCTTGCTGACACTCTGCCTCTGTTACTGCAAGCGTTTCCCCAAACAAAGGTGGGTGTGTTGCCATCACTGCTACTCCCTGTGTCAGGCATCTTGCTGACACTCTGTCTCTGTTACTGCAAGCGTTTCCCCAAACAAAGGTGGGTGTGTTGCCATCACTGCTACTCCTTGTGTCGGGCATCTTGCTGACACTCTGTCTCTGTTACTGCAAGCGTTTCCCCAAACAAAGGTGGGTGTGTTGCCATCACTGCTACTCTTTGTGTCGGGCATCTTGCTGACACTCTGTCTCTGTTACTGCAAGCGTTTCCCCAAACAAAGGTGGGTGTGTTGCCATCACTGCTACTCCTTGTGTCGGGCATCTTGCTGACACTCTGTCTCTGTTACTGCAAGCGTTTCCCCAAACAAAGGTGGGTGTGTTGCCATCACTGCTACTCCCTGTGTCGGGCATCTTGCTGACACTCTGCCTCTGTTACTGCAAGCGTTTCCCCAAACAAAGGTGGGTGTGTTGCCATCACTGCTACTCTTTGTGTCGGGCATCTTGCTGACACTCTGCCTCTGTTACTGCAAGCGTTTCCCCAAACAAAGGTGGGTGTGTTGCCATCACTGCTACTACCTGTGTCAGGCATCTTGCTGACACTCTGTCTCTGTTACTGCAAGCGTTTCCCCAAACAAAGGTGGGTGTGTTGCCATCACTGCTACTACCTGTGTCAGGCATCTTGCTGACACTCTGTCTCTGTTACTGCAAGCGTTTCCCCAAACAAAGGTGGGTGTGTTGCCATCACTACTACTCCCTGTGTCAGGCATCTTGCTGACACTCTGTCTCTGTTACTGCAAGCGTTTCCCCAAACAAAGGTGGGTGTGTTGCCATCACTGCTTCTCCCTGTGTCGGGCATCTTGCTGACACTCTGTCTCTGTTACTGCAAGCGTTTCCCCAAACAAAGGTGGGTGTGTTGCCATCACTGCTTCTCCCTGTGTCGGGCATCTTGCTGACACTCTGTCTCTGTTACTGCAAGCGTTTCCCCAAACAAAGGTGGGTGTGTTGCCATCACTGCTTCTCCCTGTGTCGGGCATCTTGCTGACACTCTGTCTCTGTTACTGCAAGCGTTTCCCCAAACAAAGGTGGGTGTGTTGCCATCACTGCTACTACCTGTGTCAGGCATCTTGCTGACACTCTGTCTCTGTTACTGCAAGCGTTTCCCCAAACAAAGGTGGGTGTGTTGCCATCACTGCTACTCCCTGTGTCGGGCATCTTGCTGACACTCTGTCTCTGTTACTGCAAGCGTTTCCCCAAACAAAGGTGGGTGTGTTGCCATCACTGCTACTCCCTGTGTCGGGCATCTTGCTGACACTCTGTCTCTGTTACTGCAAGCGTTTCCACAAACAAAGGTGGGTGTGTTGCCATCACTGCTACTCCCTGTGTCGGGCATCTTGCTGACACTCTGTCTCTGTTACTGCAAGCGTTTCCCCAAACAAAGGTGGGTGTGTTGCCATCACTGCTACTCCCTGTGTCGGGCATCTTGCTGACACTCTGTCTCTGTTACTGCAAGCGTTTCCCCAAACAAAGGTGGGTGTGTTGCCATCACTGCTACTCCCTGTGTCGGGCATCTTGCTGACACTCTGTCTCTGTTACTGCAAGCGTTTCCCCAAACAAAGGTGGGTGTGTTGCCATCACTGCTACTCCTTGTGTCGGGCATCTTGCTGACACTCTGCCTCTGTTACTGCAAGCGTTTCCCCAAACAAAGGTGGGTGTGTTGCCATCACTGCTACTCCTTGTGTCGGGCATCTTGCTGACACTCTGCCTCTGTTACTGCAAGCGTTTCCCCAAACAAAGGTGGGTGTGTTGCCATCACTGCTACTCCCCGTGTCGGGCATCTTGCTGACGCTCTGTCTCTGTTACTGCAAGCGTTTCCCCAAACAAAGGTGAGTTTGTCGCAGTGTTATTCCAGCTATATGATTGCTGTCTGTAAATAAGTCTGGACCAAACAATCCAGTGATTGACATCATGAGCATCGATCCATGCCATTGGGATCGATGACATGCATCAACCTCTTACGACAAGCATAGTCGCCTTTTACTGCAAGCATTGGTAGCTGGAAGATCTATTGAATTGATCATATTTATGTACATTTTAATAAGCATCATTTACGTTAGTGTCAGTAGTAGCTGATATGATCACGAGAAGAGATTTGGAACCGGCATGGATCATAGTATAGCACAAGGTGGGGGAAAGGTCGATCCTTTTCTGAGAGAAGCAGGATCGGTTGGTAGCTTCGATGATTCCCAATATTTTAATCACTGATGTTCTTGAATGTGTAAAGCAACACGGAATACCTGTCTAACGTATATGAATGCAGATTTAATGTATGTTTCGACGCATTTTAACAGATCAGAAATGTAAGATCATGCTTCTGGTGCTTCTGGTGCTTCGATTGGTTTGTTTGTTTGTTGTTTATTATTCCAGTAATTAATATCATGAGCATCGATCAATGCAATTGGGATCGATGACATGCATCAACCAAATCATCGCGCCTGACCACCCGATCCCGTTAGCCGCCACTTATGACAAGCACAGTCGCCTTTTATGGCAATTGGGTTGCTGAGGACCTATTCTACCCCGAATCTTCGCGGGCTTCTGGTGACGAAACGATAATAGGTAATGTTCGCACGAGAAAATGTAGTATATGCACAAAGATCCTAAATATATACATATCTCTGTGTTGCAGGGAACAGGAGGAGCACCAGGATCAGATGCATCAAGATGAGGTGGAGTATCTGCAGTACTTACCTACAGTACAGGGAGATATACTTAATACTAACCGTCATTCGAATCATGCCTATTATGACGTTATCGATGGCGAGAAGGGTCCCGCCATTGTGTTCCTGTGACCGCTGATTGTATGTAGCCTATTTTATGTTGTATGTGTTCCTGTGACGGCTGGTTATATGTAACCTATTTTGTGTTGTATGTGTTCCTGTGACGGCTGGTTATATGTAACCTATTTCATGTTGTATGTGTTCCTGTGACGGCTGGTTATATGTAACCTATTTAATGTTGTATGTGTTCCTGTGACGGCTGGTTATATGTAATCTATTTAATGTTGTATGTGTTCCTGTGACGGCTGGTTATATGTAATCTATTTTATGTTGTATGTGTTCCTGTGACGGCTGGTTATATGTAATCTATTTAATGTTGTATGTGTTCCTGTGACGGCTGGTTATATGTAATCTATTTAATGTTGTATGTGTTCCTGTGACCGCTAGTTATATGTAACGTCTTTTATGTTGTATGTGTTCCTGTGACGGCTGGTTATATGTAATCTATTTAATGTTGTATGTGTTCCTGTGACGGCTGGTTATATGTAATCTATTTAATGTTGTATGTGTTCCTGTGACCGCTAGTTATATGTAACGTCTTTTATGTTGTATGTGTTCCTGTGACGGCTGGTTATATGTAACCTATTTTATGTTGTATGTGTTCCTGTGACGGCTGGTTATATGTAACCTATTTTATGTTGTGCGTTCCTGTGACCGCTGGTTATATGTAACCTATTTTGTGTTGTATGTGTTCCTGTGACGGCTGGTTATATGTAACCTATTTTGTGTTGTATGTGTTCCTGTGACCGCTAGTTATATGTAACCTATTTTGTGTTGTATGTGTTCATGTGACCGCTGGTTATATGTAACCTATTTTATGTTGTATGTGTTCCTGTGACGGCTGGTAATATCTAACCTATTTTATGTTGTATGCGTTCCTGTGACCGCTGGTTATATGTAATCTATTTTATGTTGTATGTGTTCCTGTGACCGCTGGTTATATGTAACCTATTTTATGTTGTATGTGTTCCTGTGACGGCTGGTAATATCTAACCTATTTTATGTTGTATGCGTTCCTGTGACCGCTGGTTATATGTAACCTATTTTATGTTGTATGTGTTCCTGTGACCGCTGGTTATATGTAACCTATTTTGTGTTGTATGCGTTCCTGTGACGGCTGGTTATATGTAACCTATTTTATGTTGTATGTGTTCCTGTGACCGCTGATTGTATGTAACCTATTTTGTGTTGTATGATTTATCTAAATACAACTGTTCACTGTCGATTTAACTGTCAATTCTATTTTCCCAATCGCCGGGTCGCGCTAGGTGTTGATGTCGTTGTTTTGCCAGGACATACCCGTCGGTTTCTCCCGAGTCGTGATACTTTTGTTTTTCCGCCCTTTTTTAGCTGACCCTGTTTCCAAAGTATACGTCACTATACTACGGCACTATACTACGGCACTATACTACGGCACTATACTGCAACAGCAACGTTAAAAACACGTGACGTATATATGGTGAGCTTCACATCGATGATGATGTCATGAACGTTGAGGCCACTACCCTATACAGTATACGTCTTTACTACCAGCTGACAATACGTGTGTCTATTAGCAATGTGTATATGGTGAGCTTCACATCGATGATGATGTCATGAACGTTGAGGCCACTACCCTATACAGTATACGTCTTTACTACCAGCTGACAATACGTGTGTCTATTAGCAATGTGTATATGGTGAGCTTCACATCGATGATGATGTCATGAACGTTGAGGCCACTACCCTACACAGTATACGTCTTTACTACCAGCTGATAATACATGTGTCTATTAGCAATTGTGATATGAAACCAAAGTCGTTGTCATCATTTAACGTGTAGAGAATACTATTTGTATTGTGTAAACAAGTGTCACAGTCACGAAAGACGAGAAGTAAACTTGTGTCGCTTTGACTTAATGGTATGTACTAATGTGCCTTAAATTTGCAAGTAGTGCAAACTAATTCTTAATTTTCTTTAAATGTTGAAAAAGATCAGGTTTGATATATTTGTACATTATAGTAATAAACATTCGACACTGTACACATGCTGCTGTTTGTTATTATTTCTCTATAAACTTTGGTAAAAAACAAGTGTGTATCCATTAAATCAACTCAACTTATGCAATTGCTGTGTGGTACGTCTATTTACTTGCTATGAAGGGTGATGTGACTAACACAACTTATGTAATTGCTGTGTGGTACGTCTATTTACTTGCTATGAAGGGTGATGTGACTAACACAACTTATGTAATTGCTGTGTGGTACGTCTATTTACTTGCTATGAAGGGTGATGTGACTAACACAACTTATGTAATTGCTGTGTGGTACGTCTATTTACTTGCTATGAAGGGTGATGTGACTAACACAACTTATGTAATTGCTGTGTGGTACGTCTATTTACTTGCTATGAAGGGTGATGTGACTAACACAACTTATGTAATTGCTGTGTGGTACGTCTATTTACTTGCTATGAAGGGTGATGTGACTAACACAACTTATGTAATTGTTGTGTGGTACGTCTATTTACTTGCTATGAAGGGTGATGTGACTAACACAACTTATGTAATTGCTGTGTGGTACGTCTATTTACTTGCTATGAAGGGTGATGTGACTAACACAACTTATGTAATTGCTGTGTGGTACGTCTATTTACTTGCTATGAAGGGTGATGTGACTAACACAACTTATGCAATTGCTGTGTGGTGCGTCTATTTACTTGCTATGAAGGGTGATGTGACTAACACAACTTATGTAATTGCTGTGTGGTACGTCTTTTTACTTGCTATGAAGGGTGATGTGACTAACACAACTTATGCAATTGCTGTGTGGTGCGTCTATTTACTTGCTATGAAGGGTGATGTGACTAACACAACTTATGTAATTGCTGTGTGGTACGTCTATTTACTTGCTATGAAGGGTGATGTGACTAACACAACTTATGTAATTGCTGTGTGGTACGTCTATTTACTTGCTATGAAGGGTGATGTGACTAACACAACTTATGTAATTGCTGTGTGGTACGTCTATTTACTTGCTATGAAGGGTGATGTGACTAACACAACTTATGTAATTGCTGTGTGGTACGTCTATTTACTTGCTATGAAGGGTGATGTGACTAACACAACTTATGCAATTGCTGTGTGGTGCGTCTATTTACTTGCTATGAAGGGTGATGTGACTAACACAACTTATGTAATTGCTGTGTGGTACGTCTATTTACTTGCTATGAAGGGTGATGTGACTAACACAACTTATGCAATTGCTGTGTGGTGCGTCTATTTACTTGCTATGAAGGGTGATGTGACTAACACAACTTATGTAATTGCTGTGTGGTACGTCTATTTACTTGCTATGAAGGGTGATGTGACTAACACAACTTATGCAATTGCTGTGTGGTGCGTCTATTTACTTGCTATGAAGGGTGATGTGACTAACACAACTTATGCAATTGCTGTGTGGTGCGTCTATTTACTTGCTATGAAGGGTGATGTGACTAACACAACTTATGCAATTGCTGTGTGGTACGTCTATTTACTTGCTATGAAGGGTGATGTGACTAACACAACTTATGCAATTGCTGTGTGGTGCGTCTATTTACTTGCTATGAAGGGTGATGTGACTAACACAACTTATGCAATTGCTGTGTGGTGCGTCTATTTACTTGCTATGAAGGGTGATGTGACTAACACAACTTATGCAATTGCTGTGTGGTACGTCTATTTACTTGCTATGAAGGGTGATGTGACTAACACAACTTATGCAATTGCTGTGTGGTGCGTCTATTTACTTGCTATGAAGGGTGATGTGACTAACACAACTTATGCAATTGCTGTGTGGTACGTCTATTTACTTGCTATGAAGGGTGATGTGACTAACACAACTTATGCAATTGCTGTGTGGTGCGTCTATTTACTTGCTATGAAGGGTGATGTGACTAACACAACTTATGCAATTGCTGTGTGGTACGTCTATTTACTTGCTATGAAGGGTGATGTGACTAACACAACTTATGCAATTGCTGTGTGGTGCGTCTATTTACTTGCTATGAAGGGTGATGTGACTAACACAACTTATGCAATTGCTGTGTGGTACGTCTATTTACTTGCTATGAAGGGTGATGTGACTAACACAACTTATGCAATTGCTGTGTGGTGCGTCTATTTACTTGCTATGAAGGGTGATGTGACTAACACAACTTATGCAATTGCTGTGTGGTGCGTCTATTTACTTGCTATGAAGGGTGATGTGACTAACACAACTTATGCAATTGCTGTGTGGTACGTCTATTTACTTGCTATGAAGGGTGATGTGACTAACACAACTTATGCAATTGCTGTGTGGTGCGTCTATTTACTTGCTATGAAGGGTGATGTGACTAACACAACTTATGCAATTGCTCTGTGGTACGTCTATTTACTTGCTATGAAGGGTGATGTGACTAACACAACTTATGCAATTGCTGTGTGGTGCGTCTATTTACTTGCTATGAAGGGTGATGTGACTAACACAACTTATGCAATTGCTGTGTGGTGCGTCTATTTACTTGCTATGAAGGGTGATGTGACTAACACAACTTATGCAATTGCTGTGTGGTACGTCTATTTACTTGCTATGAAGGGTGATGTGACTAACACAACTTATGCAATTGCTGTGTGGTGCGTCTATTTACTTGCTATGAAGGGTGATGTGACTAACACAACTTATGCAATTGCTGTGTGGTACGTCTATTTACTTGCTATGAAGGGTGATGTGACTAACACAACTTATGCAATTGCTGTGTGGTGCGTCTATTTACTTGCTATGAAGGGTGATGTGACTAACACAGCTTATGCAATTGCTGTGTGGTGCGTCTATTTACTTGCTATGAAGGGTGATGTGACTAACACAACTTATGCAATTGCTGTGTGGTACGTCTATTTACTTGCTATGAAGGGTGATGTGACTAACACAACTTATGCAATTGCTGTGTGGTGCGTCTATTTACTTGCTATGAAGGGTGATGTGACTAACACAACTTATGCAATTGCTGTGTGGTACGTCTATTTACTTGCTATGAAGGGTGATGTGACTAACACAACTTATGCAATTGCTGTGTGGTACGTCTATTTACTTGCTATGAAGGGTGATGTGACTAACACAACTTATGCAATTGCTGTGTGGTGCGTCTATTTACTTGCTATGAAGGGTGATGTGACTAACACAACTTATGCAATTGCTGTGTGGTGCGTCTATTTACTTGCTATGAAGGGTGATGTGACTAACACAACTTATGCAATTGCTGTGTGGTGCGTCTATTTACTTGCTATGAAGGGTGATGTGACTAACACAACTTATGCAATTGCTGTGTGGTGCGTCTATTTACTTGCTATGAAGGGTGATGTGACTAACACAACTTATGCAATTGCTGTGTGGTGCGTCTATTTACTTGCTATGAAGGGTGATGTGACTAACACAACTTATGCAATTGCTGTGTGGTACGTCTATTTACTTGCTATGAAGGGTGATGTGACTAACACAACTTATGCAATTGCTGTGTGGTACGTCTATTTACTTGCTATGAAGGGTGATGTGACTAACACAACTTATGCAATTGCTGTGTGGTGCGTCTATTTACTTGCTATGAAGGGTGATGTGACTAACACAACTTATGCAATTGCTGTGTGGTGCGTCTATTTACTTGCTATGAAGGGTGATGTGACTAACACAACTTATGCAATTGCTGTGTGGTGCGTCTATTTACTTGCTATGAAGGGTGATGTGACTAACACAACTTATGCAATTGCTGTGTGGTGCGTCTATTTACTTGCTATGAAGGGTGATGTGACTAACACAACTTATGCAATTGCTGTGTGGTACGTCTATTTACTTGCTATGAAGGGTGATGTGACTAACACAACTTATGCAATTGCTGTGTGGTACGTCTATTTACTTGCTATGAAGGGTGATGTGACTAACACAACTTATGCAATTGCTGTGTGGTACGTCTATTTACTTGCTATGAAGGGTGATGTGACTAACACAACTTATGTAATTGCTGTGTGGTACGTCTATTTACTTGCTATGAAGGGTGATGTGACTAACACAACTTATGCAATTGCTGTGTGGTGCGTCTATTTACTTGCTATGAAGGGTGATGTGACTAACACAACTTATGCAATTGCTGTGTGGTGCGTCTATTTACTTGCTATGAAGGGTGATGTGACTAACACAACTTATGTAATTGCTGTGTGGTACGTCTATTTACTTGCTATGAAGGGTGATGTGACTAACACAACTTATGCAATTGCTGTGTGGTACGTCTATTTACTTGCTATGAAGGGTGATGTGACTAACACAACTTATGCAATTGCTGTGTGGTACGTCTATTTACTTGCTATGAAGGGTGATGTGACTAACACAACTTATGCAATTGCTGTGTGGTACGTCTATTTACTTGCTATGAAGGGTGATGTGACTAACACAACTTATGTAATTGCTGTGTGGTACGTCTATTTACTTGCTATGAAGGGTGATGTGACTAACACAACTTATGCAATTGCTGTGTGGTGCGTCTATTTACTTGCTATGAAGGGTGATGTGACTAACACAACTTATGCAATTGCTGTGTGGTGCGTCTATTTACTTGCTATGAAGGGTGATGTGACTAACACAACTTATGCAATTGCTGTGGGGTGCGTCTATTTACTTGCTATGAAGGGTGATGTGACTAACACAACTTATGCAATTGCTGTGTGGTGCGTCTATTTACTTGCTATGAAGGGTGATGTGACTAACACAACTTATGCAATTGCTGTGTGGTGCGTCTATTTACTTGCTATGAAGGGTGATGTGACTAACACAACTTATGCAATTGCTGTGTGGTACGTCTATTTACTTGCTATGAAGGGTGATGTGACTAACACAACTTATGCAATTGCTGTGTGGTGCGTCTATTTACTTGCTATGAAGGGTGATGTGACTAACACAACTTATGCAATTGCTGTCTGGTGCGTCTATTTACTTGCTATGAAGGGTGATGTGACTAACACA